TAAAAATATTGTACTTATAGCACTGCCCAATTTCCAATAATCATATTAATTGCGGGCAATTCAACTCTAACATTCTAATGAATCTTAATACTTTCAAACGTATCAAGATCGGCGATTGTCTTGTTAATGATGGCAAACCGTTGGGTGCTAGTGCTATTATCCCTTTCAAGTATGCCACAATTTCTCAATCCCATTAAGTGTTTCGTCCTTGGAATGTTTGAAGTGAGGAAGTTGCTGATTGTCTTATATAGCATTGCTATAAGAGAGTTATACATATACTTGGTATAAATTGTTGGGGTTTCTGACCACAGAATAAGAAGTTAGTAGAGTTTTTTATTTAAGTAATTAGTAATTTGATTAAGATCTTGGGCTCAAAGTAATTTTATTATGAGATTGTGATTGCTTCCTCCAATTAAGATGGGTTAGTTTGATTAGAAAATTTCTTTTCTCCATGATTTTTCCATTCTCTCAAGTAAACATTCGTAAAAATTTTGAGAGGAGAGAAAAGTCCAGAGAGGCCGCTGCATGTGGTGACAGCTGACAAGTACAACGTTTAATTTGTTTTATATAAAATTTAATATTATTAAATATATTAATCGATAGAATATATTTGAGTAAAAAGTTATAAATTTTAAATTAATATCAAAGTTAATATAGATAATTTATATAAATAAATTTTTTAATTAAATGATTCATTTTAAAAAATGTTAACTGAAAGATTGGGTTTTTTTTAATCTAAAATTATATAATAAAAAGTAATTTTTTTATAACATTTAATGCTATTTTACCTATATAACACGTCACTTAAATTTAAAATCTTTTATTTCTCCAAAAAAAAATTTCTACTAAACTATTAAGATTGTTGAGAAGATGAGATTCAAGAAAAATCATTTAAAAAAGCTTTGAGAAACGAAATCGGGGGGAGCTGCCATAGAAAAGGGGGGCAGCCGCCCCCCTAAACTTTTGAAAAATGTTTAATTTAGTACATTAATTTTTAATAATACAAAATTTGTTTTAGATGTTTCAATTACAAGGACCTTTTTGAATTTAAAAAAGGTATCCAGGAGCTAGAAAAAGGGACTATTTCTTTTTTATAATCAATTCTTAAGACAAATAAATTTATTTGGGTGTAAAAAAAGATTTTATATTAATTGTAATTTTTTGTACAATTTATATTCTATCAATTCAATAATTAGATTTGATATTCTAATTGAAAGTTTATTAATATATATAATGATATCAAAAAAGAAATTATATTTTATATGAAATTAGTATTTATTAACTAAACTTGCAAAAAAAAAAAAAAGGTGAAAAATATTTCAAAACTAAGATGTTCTAATAAAGTATCACAAAAAAATACTCATATATTTTTTATTCTTACCTTGAAAATTTGCTATTTTAGTCTATTTATTTTAATTATAGTTTGTTTAAATGACATAGTTTTGAAATATTTTTTTCTCAATTCAACTTATTAACATTTATTATTTTGTACCATTTGTTTAGGGGTATTAAATCATATGTTATTCAAAAATAATTAAATATATTTAATTAATTTAAAGTTTGACATATATATTATAAGTAGTAAATTTACCCCTAAAGTTAGTGATTAATATAAAAATTGAAATAATTTTTTTTCATATGTAAAAATTATAAATCAAACTCAAGACTTATGACTAATAATATATTTGAATTAAGGAAGATGAATGTAGGAAAAATTCCTTTTTTTT